ATGTAGTGACTGAAAAATAAGGATGGGGCTGGAGGTGTGGCTAAAGTGGTAGAGTGCCTGCTTTGCAAGCTTAGAGCCTTGGGTTCAAATACCAGTCTCACATACACACAAACAACAACAAAAAAAAGGACAGTTTCTTTTATAACCATAGTAAAATTACAAAATCAGGAAATTAACATTGATGTAATGCTAGTATCTAATGTGTAGATTTTCATTAAATTTTTCTAGTTGCACTAATATCCACAATCGCAAAAGAGAAAACCTTTTACTTTTGGTGTAAGATCCAATTTAAGATTATGTATTGTATTTAGTTGAGGTGTTCTTTGTTCTCCTTAAATTCATAACAGTCCCTCAGCTCAGGAATTTGTACAGTATATGCCAGTTACTTGTTAGATTCTCCTTGACTTTGGCAATGTTCCCCTGTGATCAGGTTTGGATTCCTTGTTTTTGGCAGGAATATCACAGAAATGGTGTGTTCTTGGTACAGCATTTCTGAAAGTATTTGGCTTAGCTTTGTTCTGTTAAGGGGAATGTTTACTTGCTTTGGTTAGATGATGTTAGCTAGATTTCTTATCAGGTTACTATATTTTCTTTTTTTTAGGTCTATGTGTTTACTTATTTTTTTCTTTATTCATTTATTCATATGTGTATACATTGTTAAGGCCATTTCTCCCCCCTCCACCCCCGGCCCCCTTCCTCTCCCAGGTTACTGTATTTTCTTTTGTAACTAAAAAGTATCTTGTTGGAAATAACCTTGAGACTTTTTTTTTAAACCAACTTTCACCCTAGCTTTAGCATTTTTTGATAATTCTTTCTAGAAGCAATTATTACTATGATTTTTGTCAAATGGTAATTTTATAATTACCATCCTTCAACATATAGTAGTTGGTATTCTAATCTAAGAAAGAGATACTACTTTTTCCCTCATTTATGTTAATATGGGTTCAGCCTAGTTCAGTAGGCTAAATGTTAGCATCATTTACTCTGTTGCTCACATTGTCCCTGATTTGGCTAGTGGGAGCCCTTTCCTGCTAGCTCCTGTGTCCTTCTGACATGTTCCTTTTATTCTTTGAGCACTTTCTCAATTCCTGGCATAGTAAGTTTTGTATTTTTCTAGCCAGGTATAGAATCAACCTTTTCTTCAATGAGGAACCTTTCAGTGGGGGATAGAACTTAAAATCCAAGGTCTGGAAATGAGATTTTTTTGGAAACACACACACCTGTATCACAGACAGCTGCGTTTGTTTCTCTCTATATTAAGATGTATGCATTCACACTCAATACTTAGTTCCAGTGACATACAGGGTTCATAATAGACTGTCCATGTGCCATAGTTTAATTCGTTTTTCCTTCAGTGAGAAACTGGCTTCTTTATTTACAATATATTTGCATAATTAGATTCTTAGGACATTTATACATTTATGTCTTCACTTTGAAGATTTATGGTCAAAATAACTATTCAGAAGATACTTGGGGTATATTATTCATTTGAAATACAATTAGGTCCACTTGTTTTTAGGCATCGACACCCTTGTTTATTAATTTATTTATTTTGAGTATGTGAAACCCTAACATGGTTTCAAAACCATATGGAAAATATACTTAGACAGTGTCTCTTTCCTCCCCCATTCCTTCTTACTCTGTTCTCATTCATCCCCAGAAGGTCAGTTTGGTTTTTGTTTATCCTTCTAGTGTTTCTTTTTGTATAAATGTGCAGATACATTCACATTTTTGAGTTTCTCCTTTCTTATACAAAGGGTGTCATGATATATTCTTTTGCACATTGCCTATTTTCGCTTAATGTATTCTAGAAATCTCTTTACCAGTATATAGCAATCTTATGCTTTTTTTTGTAGTTGTTTGGTACTTCAATATGTTCACTAAAGTGAATACTTCAATGTGTATAGGCACTGTATAAACACTTTACTGTATGTAGGCACCTAAGGTATACCAATATTTTGCAGTGAAAAACAGTGCCACAGTGAATAACCTCGTGTACATGCATTTTTGTATTATTAGAGGTGTGACTTTAGGTTAAAGCTCTAGAAGTGTTATTGCTGGGCAAAAGGTAAATGTGTGGCTTTGTTAGATATTGCAGTTCCTTTCATAAGGCTTACTTATATCAAGGTGGTCTCCACTTGCAGCTTGGTAGCATGCTTGTTTCCCAGATCCTTCCTAATCCTAAATGAGTATATTGTCATACTTTTTCATTTTTGCCATCCTGATAGATAGCAAATGGTATCTCAGTACCTGATTTTCATAGTGTTTTTTGTTTGGTTCATGCAGAGGATTTTAAGAACTTTTTTTTTTTTAATTGAGGTTTGAACTCAGAGCCTCATGCTTGCTGAGTACTTTAGTTTTTTTCAGCTGGGGTCTTGCATTTTGCCCTGCAAGCTGTGATCTTCCTACCTATGGCTTTTCCCATGCCCCACCACGTCCAGCTTATTGATAAGGTGGGCTATATCTTTATCCTCTTGATCTCCACTTCCTGAGTAGGCTTACAGTTGTACACTACCACGCCCAACACTAAAAACTTTTAAAATAATTTATCTTGTTGTTAAGGTTCTGTTTTTATGTGTTCAGACTGATCAAGTTTTTGTTTTATGACTCAGAATTCAGAGTCATAGTTAGAAACATTGGCCTTTGCTTTTTTTGTATTATGAAATAAACTTCAATATTCATTTGCTTTCACTTTGTGAATGTACAATTGATCTAGCACCATTTACTGGAAGATAAAATAAAACACCATGTTTTCTGTATTGCTCTTTGGCTGCAAATCAAGTGTTTCTTCATATAGGTGTTTTTTTTTTTTTTTTGTGGTACTGGGACACCTTAAGCCACTCCATCAGCCCTTTTTTGTGATGGGTTTTTCGGGATACGGGGTATGCCCATTTATTGATTGAGATGGGGTCTTGGTAACTTTTTACCTGGGCTACCCTTGAGCCATGATCCTCCTGAGTAGCTGGGATTATAGATGTGAGCTGTGGTACCCGGCCTTAGTTCTGTTTAAATCTTTGAAAACACTAAACCCTTTTCTGCCTTATTTTATTTGCTTTTTATTATGGTGCTAGGGCTCAAGCCCAGGACCTTGGGCTTGCTAACTACTGCTGAGCTACATCTGCCTCTTAAATAAGATCTTCTGACTTACATAATAGTATACATTTTAACTTTCATAATTGAAAGATGACAATATATATCTCATATGGAGTCACTGTCACTGAGAACTGGAAGAGACCTTAGAGACTAGTTAGTTGTGAACCTTTTAATTAGTAGATATGAATTCATTATGATTATCAAGAGAGAAAATGGCTTCAGCTAGAAGACAGCATAAATTAATTGGCTAACTTGTGCTTTCATCTTAAAGGAAGAAAACTTTTGGTTCTTTTATAAAAAGTAGTTTTTCTTTTATTGCACAGGCTCTTTAACTCTGTATTTGTCATTTTTGGGAGAAGTAAAAACAGATTTCATTTTTTTTTTTTTTCTTGGTGGAACTGAGGTTTGAACTTGGCTTTGTGCTTTGCAAAGCAGCAGTTTAGCACTTGAGCCATGCCTCCAGTTTATTTTGTTCTGGTTAATTTGTAGGTGTGGGTCTCTCAAACTGTTTTTCTGGACTGGCCTTGAACTGTGATCCTCCTGATCTCAGCCTCCCAAGTAGCTAGGATTATAGGCATAAGCCACCAGCACCTGGCACTAAACTATTTTTTTAAATAGTTTTAATTTAAAATTTTAAATTTTTTTAAATTATTTTTTTAAGTAATAATTTTAAAGCCAGTCCCATTATTCATAGTTTTTTTCCCAGAAGCTCATATTATTATTACTATTATTATTTTTACAATTATTTTGGCCAAACTGGACTTTAAACTTTGCTTGCTAGGCAAATGCTCTACCACTTGAGCCATACCTCCAACCCAGAAAATCATCTTATTTTTAGTCATTTTTATAAAATATGGGTAAATGTTATGAATGCTACTTCACAAGTGGTACAGTCATTGATACAGACTAACCCTTGCTGTAACCATGAAGTCTCTATAATTTTATTAATATGTTGTTACATAAGCCTGGAAAAAATCTTTCAATTTTGATGTAATTTGATTGTTAGAGAATTAGATAAGCCAAGAATGATGTGTTTTAGAATAATTTCTTTTAGATACTGGCTTCATCATTAAGTCACTTTAGAGCAATGAAGATTATTTGACTCTCAATAATAAGAGTCAAAAATTATTTCTCTCTAGAAATTGCAAGTTGGCACTTCCTGTAGCGGCATAGAACTGTTCTCAGATGGCTCATGTGGTTTCACTGGGATGATCCCTGCTTATTTGTCATGTCCTAGATGAAAGAGTAACAAATAGGATGTCTTTACTTTTTCACATCCCATACTGAATTTGGCACTCATGGGCACATAGTAGGCACCGGAAAATCTTTTATTATGTGTATGACTTTTGTGTTTTAGAAAGGGGTATATAATTCTTTTTTTGGGGGGGGGTTAGTATTGGGGTTTGAACTCAGGACCTCATGCTTGCTAGACAGGTGCTTTACCACTCAAGCCACACCTCCAGCCCTTTTTGTGTTAGCTCTTTTTCAAAAAGGCTCTCTTATGCCCAGGGTGACCTGGACTTCAAATCCTCCTGTTTAAGCTTGTCACACAGGTGGGATGACAAGTGCAGAACACCATGCCCAACTTTTTATTGGTTGAGATGGGGTCTCAAACCCTGATCCTTTTTTTCTCTGCCTCCCGAGTAGCTAGGATTATAGTCGTGAGCCACCACGCTGCTTAGTGGTGAGCACCTTTAAACCATGTAGACGTTGGTGGTGATTCTTTATAAACCTAAAGAGATTCTGTTTCTGGATCTGTAGCACAGTATGGTGTGCTGCTTACTAAATGTCAGAAAGTCTTCTTAGAGCTCTTAAACTCAGTACATAAGTCAAGAGTTTTGCTTAGTTTTGCAATACTTATTCTTGCTTCATCTAATTAATTTGTTTTTATTTTTTGTTACTTCTAGACCAAGAGCAGTGATGACCTTTTAGCTGGAATGGCTGGAGGGGTAACAGTGACTAATGGTGTTAAAGGAAAGAAAAGCACCTGCCCGTCTGTAGCACCTTCAGCATCTGTCCCTGCCATGACCACTGTGGAGAACAAATCTAAGATTAGCACAGGTATGCAGTCAGCTGCCTTTTGTTTTTGTATGCATGTGCATTGGAGTTTAGGATGTTCTATCTAATTGTAAAAAAATTTTATTTTCAAGAGAAAAATTTCAGAAGAAAAATTTCAAATGTATACAAAAGTAGTCATGTTGTACTCATTGTCCTTATTAAGTCATAGCCAGTCCCAGCTTCTGGATATCTATCCTCCTCCCTCATTTTATTTATTTGTAGTTGTTTTGTTTTCTGCAATAGGGTCTCGCTATGTAGTTCAAGCTGGCCTTGAACTCATAATCCTTCTGTCTCAGCCTCCTGAATGCTGAGATGACAGGCATGTGCCACCATGCCTATAATCCTAGCTATCCATGTATTTTTGTGGCGCTGGGGATTAAAACCAGGGCTTCAGAATTGGTAGGCAAGTTCCTTATCACTGCAATCCTGGCTTCCTTTTTGAAGCATATTTCAGACATGATAGAATTTCATTCATGAATATTTTATCATCTGTGAAAAATAAGGATTTTCCTAAAAACATAACCACAGTATTATTATAAATTCTTAAAATAATTATTAATCATTCTTTAAATCGTAGATTGTTCAGTAAAATAAAGTTTATAAAAAAAGTTTTTGTTTGATGAGGATTCATTTAAGGTTCATGTATAATAATGGGCTGATTTGTCTCTTAAGTCATCTGTTTAAATCTCTGGGGTGCTCCCTTTTTTTCCTTGCAGTTTAATTTTTACAGAAATTGGCCCTTGACCTATAGCATTTCCCAGTGTGTGGATTTTGATATCACGACATCTCTGTGATGTCCTTGACTATTGAATTTTCCCTCTGTATGTAACTGTGAATGGCATTGGACTTAGAGCCCTGATGGAACTGATCTGGTTTCCTTTTTTTTTTTTTTAATATGTTTTTTATAAGTATGTGCTAATTTATACAGTGGGTTTCACTGTGACATATGTTTTTGTATGTGCATATTTGTACCCCGGTTTGGTTAATCTCCTCCATTATTCTCCCTCTTCCTCCACACCCCTTCTTAAAATAACTTCCATATTCATACATGTATAGAAAGTGCCTCAGCCATATTGACCCTCTTTTACTCTCTCCATTTACCTTCTCCTTTCCCCTTCTCCTTAACACAACCTGTTTTACATTCTCATCCTTCATTGTTTAAGTGTCTGTTCATTGTTTAGTGGGTAGTTTGCCTTGATATTTTACCTGTAAGTGTATTATACTTTAATCTGACTAATCCCCTCTATTATGCTTTCTTACCCTTTGCCCCCTACCCAGTTTTCATTGCGTTTTGTTGGATCTTGTTCCTATACAGATGTGATGTATTTCAATATTACTTATTTTTTATTTGTATCTACCTTCTACAAATGAGAGAAAACATGCAACCTTTGTCTTTCTATACCTGGTTTACTTCACTTAACATGATTTTCTTCAGTTCTTCCATCCATTTACCTGCAAATGACAAAATTTTATTCTTTATGGTTGAATAATTGTTTTTTTTGTGTGTGCATGTATGTATCAGATTTTCTTAATCCATTCATCAGTTGTGGGGCCAGCTGGGCTGTTTCCGTAGCTTGGCTATTGCAAATAATGCTGCAGTAAACATGGGTGTGCAAGTGCCTTTATTGTATCCTGAGTTACAATCCTTCAGATACGTGCCTAGGAGTGGTATTGCTGGATCACGCGCTAGTTCTTTTTTTAGTTTTTTGAGAGCCTCCATACTACTTTCCATAGTGGTTGTACTAATTTATATTCCCACCAACGGCATAAGAGGGCTCCTTTTCCCCTGCATCCTCACCAACATTTGTTGTTGTTTGTGTTCTTGATACTATAGCCATTCTAACAGGAGTGAGGTAGAATCTTAATGTAGTTTTAATTTGCATTTCCTTTATGGCCAGGGATGTTGAACATTTCTTTCTGTGTGTTTTGACTATTTTTACTTGTACCTTTCAAGAAAATTTTGTTCAGTTCATTTGCCCATTTCTTCATTGGTCATTGATTCTTTGGGAGTTTAGTTTTTTGAGCTTCTTGTAAATTCTGATTGTTAATCCCTTGTCTGATGAGATTTTCTCCCATTCTATGGACTGCCTCTTTGATCTGGTGACCATTTCCTTTGCTGTGCAGAAGCTTTTTAGTTTCATGTAATACTGTTTGTCAATCCTTCCTCTTACTTGTTGAGTCACTGGAGTTCTACTTAGGAAGTTACCACTTATGTCGATATGCTCAAGTGTATTTCCTACTTTTTCCTGCAGTAGTTTCAGAGATTTAGCTCTTATATCGTAGCCTTTGATCCACTTTGAATTGATATTTGTGTAGGGTGAAAGACAGAGATCTACTTTCAGTCTTCTCCATGCAGATACTCAGTTTTCTCAGCAGCATTTGTTGAAGAGACTTTTTTACTGCATTTGTCAAAATTAAGGTGGGTGTAGCTGCATGGATTTATGTCTGGATCTTCTTTTCTGCTCCATTGGTCTTTGTGGCTGTTTTTGTGCCAGTACCATGCTGTTTTTATGCTGTGGCTCTTCAGTAGTTTGAGGTTAGAGTTGTTGTTTCTGCTCAGTATTGCTTTAGCTATTTGAGTTCTTTCATGTTTCCATATAGACTTTAGGGTAGAATTTTCAATCTCTGTGAGGAATGTCATTGGGATATTGATGTGAATCGCATTTAACGTACAGGTTGATTTTGGTACTACAGCCGTTTTCATGATACTAACTCTGTTGATCCATGAGCATGAGAGATCATTCCATCTTCTGGTATCTTCTTTCTTTAGTGAATTATAGTTTTTGTTGTAGAGATCTTTCACTTCCTTTGTTAAGTTTATTCCTAGGGATTTTATTTTATTCTTTTGAGGCCACTGAAAATGGAATTGTTTTCAAAATTCTTTCTCAGTGTATTCATTGTTGGTATATAGGAAAGCTATAATTTTTGTATATTGATTTTGTATCTTGCTACTTTGCTGAAGATGTTTATGATATGTAGCAGTTTTTTGGTGGAGTTCTTAGGGTCTTTAGGTATAAGACCATGCCATCTGTAAATCGCAATAATTTGACTTAATTCCTTTTCTATTTGAATTCCTTTATTTCTGAATTCCTTTGATTTATTTCTTCCTTATATTTGCTCTAGCTAGGAATTCCAAAACTATGTTGAATAAGAGTAGAGAGAGTGAACACCCATGTCTCATTCCTGACTTTTAGAGGAAATAGTTTCAGTTTTCCTCATTTAGTATAATGTTGGCCATAGATTTGTCATATATAGCCTTTATTAAGATGAGGCATATTCCTCTATTCCTGGTTTCATCAGAGTTTATCAAGAAAGGGTATTAAATCTGTTCAAGGGTTTTTCTGCATCTATTGAGATAACCATGTGATTTTTATTATTGTTTCTGTTTCTGTCCGATATTACATTTATTGATTTGCATGTGTTGAACCATCCCTACATCCCTGGAATAAACCTGACTTGATCATGGTGTAGGCTTTCAGCCTCTGTTCTGTGTGTGTTAGACTTTCCTAGCCTAGGTTTACCTACTGTCTCCTTGCCTGCTTTGACCTTCTGCAGATGCTCTTTCCATCCACAGTTAATTTTAACAAGAGGGAATATTTTTGTTCCTTACTTTTTACAGGTATTTTTATTTGATCTTACTGTAGCTCTATGAAGTAGAGACCATATTATCTTCATTTTAGAAATCAGAAAGCTATACTCAAGCTAAGCTTAACTATTCTGCCAAAGGCCATGCGTTCATTTTCTCAGTAGATATTTATGGGAACCCATTTTGTACCAGACCTTGGGTTTAAACCTGGTGGTAAATTAAGGATTGAATCTTCAGTGTTTTACCCCGAAGCCTGAGGTTATTACCATGTTTAACTTTTGTAGTTTGTATGGTAGGAAGGAAACTGAGGAAATTAAATATCTATTCCTATCTGCATTTCTTCCTATTTTCAGCCTGTAAAATTGTACTGGGAGAGATTCCATGTGTTTACACATGTGGTTCCTGTTGACAGATGCCACTTGACCTCATGATTCAGCTATCCCCTGGCCAGATTTGTTACCCTAATTTGGGCTTGCACATCAGTACTAGTCTGCTGTGGCCACCTTAACAAAATTCCACAGACTGGCTGATACAAGATAAATTCATACAGTTTTGGAGTCTTTTTAAGTCTAAGATCAGGTGTGGACATGTTTGGTTTTTCTGAGGCTTCTCTCCTTGGCTTGCAGATGGCTGCCTTCTCACTGTGTTCCCATACAACCATTCCTTTGCCTGTGCTATTATGTCCTCCTTGTATAAGGACATCAGTCATAATGGATTAGGGTCACTCTAACAACCCCATTCTGATTTAATTACCTCTTTAACTCAATAACTCTGTCTGTAAATACACTCACATTCTGAAATTCTGGGCATTAGGGCTTCAACATATGAATTTCAGGGGGACACAGTTCATCTCCTATTAGCAACCTTAATTCTTCACTTCATTTGCTGTACCTTTACTCACTCCTTATGACTCCTCCAAGGCTGTTTGATTTCAGTGTACCAGGTTACCTGTCTCTATCTCAGATTATTTTGCTTACTCAGTCATCACATTAATCACAGGAGGGGATGTTCTCACCTTCCTGTTCATTGTGTTCCTCTCCTCATGTTTCTTTATCTTCCTTATCATTTCAGGATATGATCAATCCTTATGTTCATTTTGAGCTTCTTTCCTTTTGTCTTTCAGTCATTCACAGACTGCTCTTTTTTGAAAAGGTTTTTGGTTTAAATAAGAAAGATGATGGTATCTTTTGTAGAAATGGAGAAGACAATTAACGTCACGGGAAGAAGTAATACCGTCTTTTTCCTCTTTGAATCTCCATTTTCACTTATTTCTCCAGATCCTGTTTTTCTGCCTTCGAAATCTGTCACCGACTTGATTGTAGGGCCGCCTTAACTTTACTGCTTTACTTTTCCAAAACCCCTCTCTACTGCTTTGTGTTTTTCCTCAGTTGTTCCAGATTGATTTCCATAAATATGCTCTATTTCTTATCTTCCCTGTTTACGAGCATTTATTGACTTGCAGTAACTCAGTATTGCCTAATTCTCAAGGCTCTATATAAACATTCTCCTACAGTTTCTGTGAACTCTGCTTCCTTGTCTTCATCTGTCCTGTGGCCAGCCTGAACTCCCTCCTTCCCTACACCTGTTCTGTAGTGAACATCTTCATACATCACAGAAGTCATTTGTCATCTCTCTAGCCTTGATGCCTACCACATAAAGAACCAGTGGGTTCTTGAAAAATACATTGGTTGGATTAGGCCTTATTTTTCAAAAGTAAAAAGTATTAAGTGTTTGTGGATATTTAAATGAAAAAATATATATATATATTTGCAAATGATTATGTCAGTTTTCAAAGGTTTAAAATATTTACAGTGAAGGTCAAGTAATTTGTGCAGAAGATGTAGCTAATGAAGCATTATTATTTAACATTAACACATTTCTTTTTTTTTTTTAATTAAGAGAGGCAATAGAGCCTACTAGTTAAGTTGCAGATTCTGGAGCCAGACTGCCTAGGTTTGAATCTTGGCTCATCCATTTATTATCTGTGTGTATAAGCATATTCTTTAACATCTCTGTGTCTAGCTTTATCTGTAAAATGGGACAATAATAGCATCTTACTTAACAATTTTGATGAGGCTTTTATAAAGGTCTCGTGTGTGTGTGTGTGTGTGTGTGTGTGTGTGTTGCTGGTGATAGAACCCAGGGCTTTGTGCATGCTAAGCAAACCCTATACCTCTGAGCCCCTTGCCTGCTGTGAATTGCTACTGTGTATATATGGATTATGTGCTAAGTATGTGTTAGTTATTGTTTTAATTTTTGTTACTATTTATGTGGAATTTTGTGATGCAAAACTTCTTTGAATTTACTTTGGTCATTATTTTTGTGTTTTGTGGAGGTAATGTAGAGTTTTGCTTTGTCTTGTGGCTGTTTTTCCCTTCTTGCTCACCTGTGATCTCCCTTCACTCTCTATTTCTGCGGTTAGTTTACTACCTGACAAACTAATCTTAGAGTGATCTTCACTTAGCTCATTGTATATTATTATGCTCTGGCCAACTATTTCAAGCACTGCTTTTGGATTTGAGTTAATGTGTATGTCTTTTTAATAGCTTTATTGAGATATAATTCACAGTCCATAAAGTTTACCCTTTTAAAGTATAAAATTAGTTGTATAATTTCTTCATTGCTCATTAAACAATGAATGATCTCTTGGAATTGAAGAAATTGAATGTTAAAGTAACCAAAATGTAAGGCAAGATTAAGGTAGGTCCAAATCAGTGTGTAGGTATCTAGCTTTCATGTCATTAGACCTGACCCATGAACTATATGCCTGTTCGTTGCTAATACATTTGCCTTAAATTCATTGTTTTAAACATGTAGGCACAAGTTCATCAACCAAGCGGAGCACTTCTGCAGGTAATAAAGAATCCAGTTCTACTAGAGAAAGATTACGTGAACGCACCCGACTAAACCAGAGCAAAAAACTACCTTCTGCAGGCCCGGGAGTTAATGACGTGGTATTGGCTAAGCGTTCCCGAAGTCGCACTGCTACAGAATGTGATGTTCGTATGAGCAAGTCTAAATCAGACAATCAGATCAGTGACAAAGCTGCTTTGGAAGCCAAAGTGAAAGACCTCCTCACACTGGCAAAAACCAAAGATGTGGAAATTTTGCATTTGAGAAATGAACTCCGAGACATGCGTGCTCAGCTGGGCATTAACGAAGATCACGCTGAGGGTGATGAAAAGTCTGAGGAGAAGGAAACCATTGCCGTTCACCAACCAACTGATGTTGAGTCCACTTTATTGCAGCTGCAGGAACAGAATACTGCCATCCGTGAAGAACTCAACCAGCTGAAAAATGAAAACAGAATGTTAAAGGACAGGTTGAACGCATTGGGCTTTTCCTTGGAACAGAGGTTGGACAATTCTGAAAAACTGTTTGGCTATCAGTCCCTGAGCCCAGAAATTGCCCCTGGTAACCAAAGTGATGGAGGAGGAACTCTGACTTCTTCAGTGGAGGGCTCTGCCCCTGGCTCAGTAGAGGATCTCTTAAGTCAGGATGAAAATACACTCATGGACCACCAGCACAGTAACTCTATGGATAACCTAGACAGCGAGTGCAGTGAGGTATACCAGCCCCTCACGTCCAGTGATGATGCCCTAGATGCACCATCATCTTCTGAGTCAGAGGGCATCCCAAGCATAGAGCGCTCTCGCAAGGGGAGCAGTGGGAATGCAAGTGAAGTGTCTGTGGCTTGCTTGACAGAACGGATTCACCAGATGGAAGAGAACCAGCACAGCACAAGTGAGGAACTTCAGGCAACCCTGCAAGAGCTAGCTGATTTACAGCAGATTACCCAAGAACTGAACAGTGAAAATGAAAGGCTTGGAGAGGAGAAAGTCATTCTTATGGAGTCCTTGTGTCAGCAAAGTGATAAGTTGGAACACTTTAGTCAACAGATTGAATATTTCCGTTCCCTTCTAGATGAACATCATATTTCTTATGTCATAGATGAAGATGTAAAAAGTGGACGCTACATGGAATTAGAACAACGGTACATGGACTTAGCTGAGAATGCCCGTTTTGAGCGAGAGCAGCTTCTTGGTGTCCAGCAGCACTTAAGCAATACTTTGAAAATGGCAGAACAAGACAACAAGGAAGCTCAGGAAATGATAGGTGCGCTCAAAGAACGCAGTCACCACATGGAGCGAATCATTGAGTCTGAGCAGAAGGGCAAAGCAGCCCTGGCAGCCACGTTGGAAGAGTACAAAGCCACGGTGGCCAGTGACCAGATAGAGTTGAATCGCTTGAAGTCCCAGCTGGAGAATGAAAAGCAGAAAGTGGCCGAACTATATTCTATCCATAACTCTGGAGACAAATCTGATATTCAGGATCTCCTGGAGAGTGTTAGGCTGGACAAAGAAAAAGCAGAGACTTTGGCTAGTAGCCTGCAGGAAGATCTGGCTCATACCCGAAATGATGCCAATCGATTGCAGGACACCATTGCTAAGGTATTATTTAAATAGGTAAAAAAAATATGTTCTGGTTCAACATTTTGTAGCTGCCATGCACAGTGTGCTTACATTGAGAGCCAGGAACACTTGTTTAATGTGTTATTGGCTCTTATTTAGGGTAGCATTTTTTAAATCTGGAGAATGGGTTTCTTTTATTAGAAGAGAGAAGTATTCTTATAACAGTGCTGCTTCAACTCACTTGCATTTCATTACTGTTCTTTTGCTTGTGAGAGGACAGAGCTAGAGTTAAAATGAATATCTGAATTTGTGCCTAGTTCTGGTTATGTCTTTCTGACATGATGTGAAATTTTATATTCTTGGCTCTAACATACCGTAGCATAAGATAAATGCAGAGCTAGTATTTCAGTCTATATGATCAGCAATGCCTACTACCTCTTGTCCTGCTGTAATTATAGTTTTTCAAATAGAATTTTGTTGTGACTTAAACAGTTTTAGAATTTAGGGGCTCCTGTTTCTTGGAGACCTAGGATTTATTGCTGGGAGAGGCATTAGAGATTATCCTTCCAGCCATTTTGTTTCATAGGCGTGCAGTGTAATAGCGGGGAGTCAGAACTGCCAACCTGGGGTGCTGGTGTTCTGGCCAGGGCTCTGTATCTTGTGTGGTTGCTGATGAAGTGTTTTTTTGTGTGTGTGTGTGTGTGTGTGTGTGTGTGTGTGTGTGTGTGTTTTGCATGAGTTACGTTGTTATTCTATGTCGCATTTTATATTTTGTTTCAGGACAATGATTTTTTTTTTTTTCTTTTTGAGATAGGGTATTGCCATATAGTCTAGGCTGGCCTCAAACTCCTGATTCTTTTGCCTCAGTCTCCTGAGTGCTTGGATTACAGGTGTGCCTTAACCATGCCTGACTCTAGGGCATTGATTTTTAAAGGGAGAGATACTAGTATGTGTTGCTAAACTTGGATAACTGATGACTTGTAGAGATACAGTTCAGGAGGTGTGTTTTATTTCTTGGAGCAGGCATGTAGAGGGGAGGCACTATCAACTAATATTTTAGCAAAATATTTGAAAATGTTTTGTAGTTCCATATTCTATTTGATACTGAAACTGTTAGAACACATCATTTTTGTAGGAAAGCATGCTAATAAATTAATCAAATGCATGTTTTTAAACTAAACTAAAAACATTGGTTAAGTTCAGTGAAATTATACATCAGTATAATTTCAGTTAGTAAAACAGCAAAGTTTATGCTGAAGTGTATTATGTAAAAAAATTTTTTTGGTGGTACTGAGGTTTGAACTTAGGGCCTCATGCTTTCTAGGCAGGTTTTCTACCACTTGAACCACTCTGCCAGCCCTTTTTTGTGTTGGGTATTTTCAAGATAGGGTCTACTCCTATTTGTCAGGGTTGGGGTTCGAATTGCAATCCTCTTGATCTCTGCCTCCTGAGAAGTTAGGATTACAAGTGTGAGCCCCTGGTGTCCAGCTACATAAAATCTTGTATTCATGTAGAATACCATTTCGTATTTTTTTAAAAAGGTCTTACATGGGGTTTTTTAGTTCACGTGTAGCTACTCGCTCATATCTTCCACTTGAAATAGTATGTAGCTCAATTTATCTTAGAACAACTCTCACTTTCTAAATCTGCAATGAATTTTATATAGGTGGAAGATGAATACCGAGCTTTCCAAGAAGAAGCTAAGAAACAAATTGAAGATTTGAATATGACATTAGAAAAATTAAGATCAGAGTTGGAGGAAAAAGAGACAGAAAGGAGTGACATGAAAGAAACCATCTTTGAACTTGAAGACGAAGTGGAACAACATCGAGCTGTGAAACTTCATGACAACCTCATCATTTCTGATTTAGAGAGTAAGTGATGAGAGAGTTTTTCATTTCTTTTTGTTGTATCTTTTAAAATATATTTACATTTAGTAATAAAAATTAATAATTATGACTGGCACATAGCCCAGAGGCAGTAGCACAGCTGGCTTGCAGAAATACGCATATGTTAAAAGTATAATTCATATATTAGTTAATAGTCTTAGGATTGCTATATTTTGTTCCGAAGAACTATTGAGTAGAAGCATTACTTTAAAATTGTACTTAATTAAGCAAAATTTAAATGAAAAGCTAGACCTTAAGAAAATCCATTTATTATTTACTTATGATTGCAAGTATACTGAGACAGAAAAATATTGATCCTACAGGCTTTTGTTTTTTGTTTTGTGTTTGGCAGTCCTGGGGTTTGAACTCAGGACTTCACGCTTGCTAGGCAAGCACTCTGCCACTTGGGCCATCCACCAGCCCAATCCTGTGGGTTTTTGTTTAGCTCTGATTTCCCTTATTACCCTGAAGATTTTATAATAATGATGGAGTTGAAACTCAAGTTTCAAGTTTCTTTCTTTTTTAAAATCTTTTTATTTTCTAATTATTTTAGGCTTGTAAGGAAATTACAAAAATGGTACAAAGCATTTCTGTAGAAATTTTGATGAAAAACTAGATACTTTCATGAACTTAAAATATTTCCAGTGAACTAATTATTAGTTGCAAGTGAGGAAAAAGGCAAACAAAACAAAAACTTACTATGCAGTGGAAAAATTGAACAATACTTTGGGTGCTTGAGTGAACGACAGGTATATAGATACTGTGCGCAGTACTGGAGAGGCTGTGTTCTGAAGTATACCTTAATCACAGAGAAACATTAGACAAACAGAAACGTTAGGTAGACAAAAAATGAAGAATGTTTTAAAAGCGGAGGTGTTGTGGGTGCTGTAGCCCTTGAATATGCTAATGTCATAAAAGACAAAGGCTATGGAAATGTTCCAGATTTTAGAAGGCTAAGGAGATATGATAATTAAATGTAAACTTGTGTCTAGATAGGTCTAGTATTGTAGGGGGAAAACACTGTAAAGGTCATTATCACAAAATTGGGTTGTGAGCAATAGATTACCTTAGTAACCTACTAGGTAACATATTTACTAGGTATCATATCATAAATTTGTGAACTCGATGATTTTACTGTGTTTATGTGTTTATGTAAGAAAATATCCCTGCTGTTAGTAACCCACACACTTGAATATTTTTGGGTAATGGGCCATGATACATATCATCAAATGGTTCCAGAAAAAAATGAGAGATTAATGGGTAGGGAATTAAATAAATGGCAGTTGGTGAAACAAATAGATACATTTTTAACAATGAGCAAATCTGAGAAAGTGAGCATATGGGTGTTCTTGTACTATTTTTGCAATTTTTTGTTAGTTTGAAGTTGTTTCCAAACAATGCATTTTAAAAATTCTTAACTGTACTTATTTGAGATTTGTCAAATGTTAACAAATTTTAAGTTGTAATATATTTGTATATTGTTGAGCTGGGAACTGACAAGGAGAATGGGGATCATCTTTTTTGATGCATTAGTTATAGCTTTTAAAACTTTTTTTGTACCCTGCTGCTCATTTGATCTCTACCATTTTGTTACTACTTGACAGTATGGGAAATTGGCCTTGAGCCACATCCCATGTACTATGGATGCATAGGTGGAGAAATCTGAATTATTGCCAAGGCAGAGTGGGTCATTTGTGGTAAACCCTCAGTATATCTTGTGGCAGTTCTGAGCTTTGGCTAGATGGCCCACTGTCTGTAGAGTGACCCACAAGGTTTTTGGAACATTCTGAGGACTTTGTGTACTGAAGTAGCCAGCTGTGGAACTTTCTTTCTGAGAACGTGGTATAGTCAGTGAATTAAACGCTTCTTACATTAAATTTGTATTTTGAATTGAGAAGATTTATATAATTCTATTTCCTGTGTGTAAGAGGTTCTACTTTTTAGGTAAACTTGGAAGTTCAGTGTACTGGTACTAATACCATCTTCTCGTGTAGTCTAGGTTTTTAATGTGGGAAGAGTGACACCTTGTGGTAATTGGGGTAGTAGCTAGAAAAATGTCAGATGATCAAGGTCAAAACTTTACATATTATCACATTAACATGTGAATTTTAAGCTGAGAGCCAATGGTTTATGCGTGTAATCCTAGCTACTTGGGATGATGAAATTGGGAGGGTCAGTCACAGTTCCAGGCCAGCTTGGGGGGAAAAAAAAATGAGAGACTCCCATCTCAGTGGAAAAAAGCTGGATGTGGTAGTGTGTGCCTGTTATCCCAGCTATAGTAGGAAGCGTAAAATAGAAGAATCTTAGTCTAGGTTGGCCTAGGGTAAAAGCAATACCCTATAACCAGAGCAAGAAGAGCTGTAGGCAGGGCTGAAGCGGTAGAACACCTGCCTAACAAGTGTGAAGCTCTGAGTTAAGTCCCCGAACTGCTAAAAACAAAACAAAACAAAATGAAAAACACCCCCTCCCCCGCAATTCTATGGATTTTAATTGGAAATGACTGAAAATATTGAATAAAGATTTTAGCTACTTAGCTTCTCTTCCCCATTTTTTGAGATGGAATGTTCAAATATGCACAAATATTGACAGAATAATATGGTTATTACCCACTGCCTGTATTTGATAATTATTAACATTTTACATTGTTTGCCGTGTGTATATGTATTTAACTGACAATAAATTGTAGATGTTAATGCACTTAACCCCTAAATATTTCAACATGTAGCTCCTGAAAAAAGTTGTCTTCTTAACCACAGTACTGTTATTGAATGTAGTAAAATTAGTCCTTGTTCCCTAGTGTTATCGAATAGTCCCTATTTCAATTTCTCCTGCTGTCCTCACAATGTCTTTTTTATAGTTTTATTTATTTAAAAATTATTTTAATTTTTTTTTCTGGGTTCCTTATTGAACCCAGGACCTCTTGCATGCTAGGCAAATACGCTATCTACCACTTCAACCACACCCCCAGTTCTACCTTTATTATTTTTAAAAATAAGAATCAGGATCCAAAAGAATTCACACTTTATGCTTACTTGTCGGATCTCTATGGGAATTAATTGTTTCCCTTGAAAATGTTAGCATTTGGGATAGATGTTACGTCAGCACTTTGTTGTAGGAACTTGATGAGAGGGAAGAAAGTACTCTACCACTTGAACCACATCTCCAGTCTTTTTGCTAATAATTTTATTTTTCCTTTTTTTTTTTTTTCTGGTAGAATCTTATGTTAGCTTTGCCTGGATTGGCCTTGAATTGTGATTCTCTTACCTTTGCCTCCCATGTAGTTGGAATTAGTTTTTGAGATAGGATTGTGCTAACTTTCTTCCTGGACTGGCCTCAAATTGTGATCCTCCCAGTCTTTGCCTCCTGAATAACTAGGATTACGGGTATGTACCACCATGTCTGGCCTAGTGGACAGTATTTTAAAGCAGTTTTTGTACTCAAGAATGTGGAGCTGGGCGCTGGTGGCTCACACCTGTAATCCTAGTCACTCAAGAGGCAGAGATCAGGAGAATGACGGTTCAAAGCCAGCTGGGAAAATAGTTTGTGAGACACTATCAAAAAAGTCCTTCACAAAAAAGGGCTGGTGGAGTGGCTCAAGGTGTAGGGCTTAAGTTCAAGCCCCATACTACAAAAAAAAAAAATGCTCAGAATGAATGAACAAATGGCAAATCTCAGCGGAGAAATAAAAAGAACTAAATAGGAATTCTAGGCTTGAAAAATTTAACATCCAATATGACAATTATTTACTGAATCATTTAAACATCAAATTAAATATAAAAAGGAGCCAGTGAACTGGACAATACATCAGAAGATATTTTCTAGTTTGAGGAATAGGGAATAAAAATGTTGAAGAAAATGAGCTTTAATGACCCGTAAGTTAATACCAGACAGAACAATACCTGTACTTGGAGTCCCAAGAGGCTCCCAGATCATATTAGCACCACCCTGTGTAGACCTGGCCTCTTGCCCTAGCACAGCAGCTGGTTAAAGGTCTGCTGCTGACACACACCTACTGGGGCACCCCTTTGAACACACAACAGAAACATGTGCTCCAACCAAGGCACTGGGTAGTAGATTTGTTTCAGTGCTTGGCCAAACTGTCTTTCTCTTTGTATGGTTTTCTCTTCAGGGCCACATGGGAGCCTTCAGTTTTCAGGTACTAGTTCATTTCTCTTCCTGACACCAAAGTCATGCTAGGGGCTCTGGCTCTGTGTTCCATTCCTGTATTTAGAGAAGAGTTGGATCCCAGCAATAGGCTGAGAGCAAATAAGCTAGCACTCTATGGTGACGGGGTGGTATGTGGGTTCTGGTACTCCTTCAGCACCACAGCCTTCTATCCTTCTCATCTCCATGATCCCGGAATGGTGATTATAGTTGTTCCCCTCTCCCTAAAGTTTGTGAGAACATCATTACTTAGAGTTTCATTGTTTTCCTGGATGATAGTTTTTCTATTCTGTTTGATATCTCCATATCCCATATGCTTTCTTTATTCCAGAAATTATTCAATCATTGATGTACTGATGGGATCCTCCCCTGTTTTCTATTTCAGCTTTAGGTTCATTATAATTCATATATTTCTTCTGTTGTGTCAGTAGGACTTTAGGAGGGAAAAGAAGCATATATGTGTGATTTCAGGCCATCATCTTGAACTGGAAGTTGCACATGAGTTTTTGCATCAAATCTTTGTAGCTTAGATGTTAAATCCAGGAACTAGTGACAAACACCAAAGGCCAGGTCCATGCTGTGTGGTGCTGGTATGATTACCACATCATTTTTAGAGAACTAATAAAATTTTAAGAGCACAACACTGCCAGCCCTGTAATCCTAGTGACTCAGGAGGCAGAAATCAGGAAGATTGTGGTTCAAAGCCAGCCCAGGCAAATAGTTTGTGAGACCCTATCTCGAAAACACCCATCATAATAAAAGGGCTGGTGGAGGCCATGAGTTCAAACAAAAGAGTACGACACTGACTTAGCCATCTACTTCCAGAAACCTGTCCTTCAGAAAGTCTTCCAAGTTTGCAAATGTATACGTAGGTATAGCTGCTTGCTGCAGAATTGCTTGTTACCATAAAATTTGGAAACTACTTGTTTTCAACAATTGTGATCTAGCTAATAACCCATGTGCACAGTGCATTCCTTCTTTGGTTGCCATCTGCCAATGAAAATGAAGGAGGCAGATTTGTGTGTGTTTGCTGTAAGATGAAATAAAGCCAGTCGTGTGTGCTTTTTATAAAACCAGCCATAGGTATTTTGTAATTCAAAATGACTAAAAGTTTTAAACACTGAAATGGAACATAATAACGTTCCTTTGAAAATGGTGATTTCAGTATATTCTATAAGACAGTAAATATCTTGGTAACTTCTCAAAAAAAAAAAAAAATTCTGCCAGGCACTGGTGGCTCACACCTGTAATCCTAGCTACTCAGTAGGGAGATATCAGAAGGATTGTGGTTCGAAGCCAGCCTGGGCAAATAGTTTATGAGACCCCATTTTGAAAACACCCATCACAGAAAATGGCTGGTGGAATGGCTCAAGGTGAAGGCCCTGAGTTCAAGCCCCAGTACCACACACACATACACAATAAATAAATAAATAAAATTCTGTGTATTTGAGCCTTCTAATGCACTCACTGACTCTGGTCCTGTTGATAGTTTCAAATGATCCTTCTACACGTCTATTTGTTGAAATATTTTTGAAGTAATAGTTGAAGAGTTGCGTGAAGACATTTGTTGTATTTATAATAAAAAAGTTGAAGCCATTTTAACTGGCTGTTAATAGGAGATTTCTAGAACAAATCATAATATGTTCAGTTGATGAGATGAAATACTCTCTGGCCATCCAGATGGTACTGCAAATCTGGATAACAGTGTCCATTATCTGCTCCTAAGTAGAAAGGTTTATGAAGCAGTGTAAGTGGTATAATCTCATTTTTCTTTTTCTTTTTCTTTTTTTTAATACTAGCTGTATAGCTGAAGTGGGAGGATCATTTGAGCCCAGGAATTTGAGTCCAGTCTGGGCAACTTAGTAAGTCTCAATGAAAAGAAACCAAAACCAAAAATCAAAACAAATACATATACATAAGAAGTCTGGAAGGATATGTGTCCAATGCAAATAATGGGTAATCTTATTTTTGTTATTCTTCTGTTTTCCAGACTTTTTATTGTGAGCATACATTACTTTTAGAATCAGGGAAAAAAAGTTGCACCCTCTTTTTTGGGGGAAAAATAAAGATGAGTAAAATAAAAATAGCATATGGTTCATTTACTGATCTGTGTCTTCTTTTCTTTTGTCTCTCCAATTCTGGATTAGAGATAAAGCTATGGCCCAGTGTCTGCACACATTGCTCACTCTGCCTATCTTTTTTTAATTTTTTGAACAGATTATTTACTCTTAACCTTTTCCTTTCCTCTGAAAAATCACATGTGGAGTTCAGTGGAAAGTGCAAGCCTCTGTAAGCACTGGCGCCAGTACCCTGAGAGTTTTCTGGGCATTTGGAGGTCAGGAAAAGTTGTTACGGAATTTGATTATTTTATTCCCTAAGGAGTTACAGGTTGGTAGCTGCCTACTAACATCTGCATGATGGGCAAATAGCTGGAGCCAGTGTGGATTATTCTTGATTTGTCAGGGACTGCAGGTCCTTCATGGTAAAAAGATTATTAAGCTGATAGGGTAGTACCCAGAGCTATTTAAAACAAAGTTAGTCTAATAATAATGAGAATAGCAAATTATCCGACTCCCAGAATAAAAATAGCATTGTTTAAAGACATAATTGTAGTTAAAAAACAAGAAGATAGAGTAGTTCTGTTCTTTGATATAATTTTATTTGAAGACAGCAGGTGGCAGTGTGCCTCACTCCAGGGAAACTGAAGAGGCAGTAAACCGGGTTTAGAGATTCCCAAGTTGCAGTAATGCCTCCTTCTTGTGTGATTGATAATCATGCTAAATGGCAGTTTTGCTAACTAGTCTTCAAATAAGAACTTAAGTACAAACTCCTTTGTTTCCAGGGAGGAAAAGTATGTTGTCATTTTTAATACTTTACATTTCCAAGAGAAAATACAGACATGATGCTAAAATTTAAATCAAATTCCCTATAGACACTTTTAGTGTACTTTATTTTGTTTAAGTATGTCTAGTGGCTGCCAGCTTTCCTTCTATTTAAAAGTAATAGTGATAAGATATGACAATAAATGTGTAGCACTAGCAGCCAAAAAATGTCCTTGTAAGTATAGTGATTGCGTGAATTCTTTGGCCATGAGAGGCTGGTAAAGAGAAAAGGTAAGAATAAAAGAAATGAATGAAATTTGGAATTTTATGATTGAAGATGTTGCTTAAAATGATACCTGAGAATCAAAGTGCCAGTTGTTAAAAGTAAGTTATAGTAAGATTTGCTATCATTTGTGTTGTAAATTATGTCTAAAGATAAATAGATGTGTCCTTTATTGGCCAGAAAAAAAGGAAAACAATTTTTAGCAAATTTCAAGCAAAATTATACTCATAAATTTTTTTTGTTTGCTTGCCTGTTTTAATTATAAAATATTTCTTGCACATAAATGGAGACAGTATAAATGAAAAGCATAACTTCTGGTTTTAGCTTCTGTCTTTACTCTTTTATGTCTGATAATATCATCCAAACCCTGAATTTTTCAATGTGTGAGATTATAAGGAGCCAAGTGCCCTTGCTGGTTTCAGAGCCATTATTGCCTGTAGTGACAAAAAACAGGGTAATAGATGTGTGCATCAGTTTGGTATCCATTTTGCCCTTAACCAGATTGGATGGCCCATTTGATTCTCCGTTTCTAGGTTAAACGAGGTTTGAAGAAGCTTGTACATTAAACTTTGTGGTACTGGGGGATTAAACTCAGGGCTTCACGCTTACTAGGCAGGCGCTCTACTATTGGAGCCATATTACCAGCCCATGAAGAGAGACTTTTAAAATTTAATCCCTTGCATATAAAATCATTCTCCTTTGCTAGCTCAACATAGTAGTGGCCTTTCTGTCTCTTAAGGGGGCTGGGGGATCTATTTATTTTCTTTTTCTTTATGTCATTAGCACCTAGAAAAAAGCCTGGTTACAGAGTTGGTACTTACAAAATGTGTGTTGAATCAATGAATAAGTTTTGAACCTTTTTTATTTTGTGGACCCTGATTTTGTTTTAAAAAAAAATTGAGCAAAGAGTGGGAGGATATTAACTACTGGCTACCAAAATTGTCCTGTCATCTTTCACTCCCTCCCTCCCATTTTATCTCATTTTGTCCAGCTTTGGAAGATATATAATTTATTATTATATATATATATATGTGCCTTTTCTGGTGATTAACCAAAAAATGATTGTTGTGACAGATTACAGAAGGGCAGTTATAGCATGGGCTCTCCTAAGGCATTTCTCTCTTTGCATAGGTTTTAGACCAGACCTCCCTCCAAATAGACTGTAACTTCCCTTTACATTTACTGTTACCATTCCACAGAGTTAATTTAAATGGCAGCTTGCTGGGTATTATATAATTAATTGTATAATTAATTCTGCTAATTCACTTGTCTTGAATTTATTCCAGTCTGTAAAGGAAGTTATGCTTGCATAGATACTTCAGATTAGCCCTCATAATTAAAAGTTCACATTTTTATAACAGTCATTGTTGTTTTGATTGGTTTTTTGCCAACAATGTGCATATTTCTAACAATTGACTTCAGTAAACTTTTTGTTGCAGAATTAAGACTCTTAGGAAGGAAGTGATCCAGAAATAATAATTTTAACTTGATAATTTCCTTAGAAAGTAATATTGGCGAATACTTGGATTGAGCATTCTTTTTTGCTTTTAATGTTTTGAATTAAAAATAAAAGTGTTTAGTAGGGATAATTTTTTTGGATGTCATATTTAAGTATTAAGTATTTATATTATTCCTTTTGAATATAGCTCTAAGAATATTTCAATTTTGGTTGTCTTTTTAGATACAGTTAAAAAACTCCAGGACCAAAAGCATGACATGGAAAGAGAAATCAAGACACTACATAGGAGACTTCGGGTAGGATAAATCTTCATGTATTATCTTAGACAGCATCATTTTCTGAAATTTGAGGAGTGCTCATTGACCATGTCATTCACCTTAAGCTTTAAATACAGTGGTGGTATTGGCTACTTTGGGCTTTGGGCAGAAAGCAAATGCCATCATTTCAAATTGGGACTGGTGCTACATTTGGGACAGAAGAATTTACTAGTAATTTATGGGTAATAATTTGAGGAAGACAGATTTAGGAAACCTGTTACATTTTGGAAAGAAAGTTGATTTGCTTTTAATTATAAATTGTCCCAAAGTAGGCTGTTTTTGTGTGACTTTTTTTTGTAGTACTGAGGCTCGAACTCAGGGCCTTCACCTTGAGTCACTCCACCAGCCTTATTTTTGTGAAGGGTTTTTTGAGATAGGGTCTCATGAACTATTTGCCCAGGCTGGCTTCGAACCACTATCCTTCTGATCTCTACCTCCTAGTTTTCTTTATCCTATGGAGTTGATCAGCATAGATACTAATCAGAGTTTCAGTTGTGCCACGTTTTATGCAGGCTGCCTTCAAGCTGTCAGAAAATTGCTTTGAGGGTGAGAGAACTGAGGTGTGGCCCAGCTGTGGCTCTGGTGGAGGTGAGGCTCTGGAGAGACTTCCCCACCCACTTACACCGCATCCTCCCTCATTGTGGGAAGCAATAGACCATACAGTTCCTTACTGCCTCTTTGTATAATTTTGTCTGCCTATATTGAGTTCAGTGTTTTTCTTCTGGCTTCCTCTTCCTCTTCTTTACTTTTGATTTTTTTTTCCTGCTTTTGATGTCAGGATATTTATAGTTTTTTACTGTATGGTTCACATACCATTTATATACCTTCTTGAGCTTTCCAGAGGTAGAGCTCTAAATTTTGGATGATACTTATTTTTATAAGACTTATTTTGAAACTTGCATGAGGAAGGGATGCTTGGATGTTATTCTCATTAATATTTATTGAGCACTCTGAGTGCTTGATGGCTCAGTAAGCAGATCAGCTGGAAAATCTTTCCTTCATTCAGAATAAGTTCACTAATAATAGTTGTATTGTTAGAAATAGGTAATAGCAGTCCTCTGGGATTAAAAGAAAAATATCATTTGGGAACACAGTGCATTATAACCTAATCATAAACAAGTTTTATTGTTTTTAAATCTTTATTGTTCTTTTTTAGAAATAAACATTTAGTTTTTTAAATAGGAAGAATCTGCAGAATGGCGGCAGTTTCAAGCTGATCTACAGACTGCAGTAGTCATTGCAAATGACATTAAATCTGAAGCCCAAGAGGAAATTGGTGATCTGAAGCGCCGGTTACATGAGGCCCAAGAAAAAAATGAGAAACTCACAAAAGAATTGGAGGAAGTAAAGTCACGCAAGTATGTTCTAACAAAGTAATTGTATGCTGTGTTTCAATAGAAAACACTTAAAACTCCAATTTAGTGATGTGGTATTATGGGAGTTGACACTGCCAAGTTTGGATCTAATGGAAGTTAATGTTTCTAAAAATTTTCATTTTGGTAAAATGAGACCTGTAAAATAGCACACTTTGTATGGATCTTCAAAGTTGTCCACGTCAGTGATCAGCAACTCTGGGAGGGAGCCACAATGGTACCGGGCATAAGAGCACAGTATGATTCTCCTTGTCCCTATCCCTATTATCCAACCCTGTTGTTTTTATTTAGATTAGGATCAGACGGACTTGGCTTCTGTCTGTCCAGCCCTGCTTTGTACTAGCTATGTGATTTTGTTCAGCAGCTTTAGCTTCTCAAAGCCTGAGTTTTCTCACCTTGGAAATAGAACTAATGCTATCTCTTTTCCATCATTGTAAAGAATAAAGGAGATAATGCCAACAAAGTACTCACTCAGAGCAATGACCAGTATACTTTAGCTAGTAGTTTTATAAACCCAAGTAAAAAATTCAAGGTGAGTTTCTCTCCATTAGTTGAGGAATGTTCACTTGTTTTATCTTATGAACCACATCACTCTCCAAAGTACTACATTTTTTCATCATCTAGCGTGGATATCTTTGGAAACCTGTAAAAATTATTAGATGAGGGGACATCTATGATGTTTTCTGAGCTCCACAATGAGACTATGAGTAGGGGAGAGTATTTTTTTGTTTTTTAGCTTATTATTAAGAATTTGATTATTTGTTACTTTGAATAATTCTTAATTAGGCATAGGAAAAAAGTTTAGAAAAGGATTATGTCTTTGAAAGTCTCTTATTTTCATATTGCCTAGCCCTAATGTATGGTCCAGAGAAAAGTATTGCTAAGCCTTTTTTGCTGGCTTCCTTAAGCAGAACTTGGGAGAGGGCAGATTGATCCTCTACTGATATAAAACTTTAGTGATTTCTTTCTTTCTTTGTGTACTGTTCAATGAATAGTGTGTCAAAAATGCCTCATTTGAGTGTTATCTCATGATTGAAATTCTATCTGTTCGTGGTGCTGAGGACAACAAGGGATCAAACCCAGGTCCTTGAACATTGTAGGCAAGTAATTCTACTCTTAAAGGATCACTCCATTGGATCTTGAAAGCTTATCAGTTTTTAAGATGTACATTTAAAAGAAGTACCTCCAGAAGAGGCAGCATCTTGTATAGTAATAGTTTTCAGAAAGGTCTGCAGGCTCCTGCATTCCCTAAGACCCTTTCAGTTAGTATTGTTTTCACAATAATGTTAACAAGTTGTTGGCTTTTTTTTTTTTCACTGATAGTGAAGAGTAAATGTAAACTTGATGACTCAAGGCCTTGGCACCAAATTGTACTCATAGTCATTGAACCACTACACAATGACATTTTTAAAAGAATGCCAAAAACCCCAAACAAAACAAAACACAGGTTTCACTTAATGATGCCCTTCCCGAAGGGGTCAATGACTAATTTTACTAAATCTCTGCCTTTGAGGGTACCCTATTTTAAACCTTCCATGTGACAAAATGGGAAGTGTGAAAAAGTTTCTTCTGTTTTATCTGCTGTGTGCCCAAGTATGAGGTTGGCTTGAGGGGAGCACTGTGTGATCATTTTAGTTTAGCTACTTTATTTTTTCATGGAATACCATTTTTTACTTGAAAACACTGTGTAATGCGCAGTAAGTTGATATTTTCCTTATGATGTTAAAGGAGCATAGATGGTTAAAGCTTTCTTTCAAAGTGTAGAATATTTTAGTGAATGTTAATGGACAGAATAAGAAAAGTTTATTTATATGGCTTCAGATTCCACATTACTAACTTTTTTTTCTTGAGTGCTAGGATTCAAACCTGGGGTCTTGTGCATGCTAGGCAAATGCTTTACCACTGCATTTTTTTCTCTGGTGTTGGGAATTGAGTCCAGGGCCTTCCTTATGCTAGGCAAGGGCTCACCATGTAGCTGCTCCTCTAGCCAACTAACTGAATTTTAAGTAACTACCAAATATTGCATTTTAGTGTAGTATATACCTACAGTTATCTAAAAAGGCTATTAAAATATTTTCTTTTCCACTCAGCTGATGGCTCAGGCCTATAATCCTGCTTACTCAGGAAGCAGAGATCCAGGAGGATCATGGTTCGAAGCCAGCCCAGGCAAATAGTTTTCAAGACCCTATCTTGAAAATAACCAACAAATAGGAAAAAAAAGACTAGCAGAGTGTCAGATGATAGAGTACCTGACTAGCAAGTGTGAACCCCCAAGTTCAAACCCCAGTACTGGCAAAAAAATTCTTTTTTCCAACCACATACCTGTTTGAGAGCTGCATTTTTTTTTTCCTATATCTGTATAGAAGAATGAGAATATAGCTGTTTTCTAAGCCAGATTAAATAGATACTAAAAAATGTAAAACATTGCTGCTCTTCTTGCTACTTTTTTTGGTTTTGGAATGTTTCTTTTTTTGTCTTTATAGTCATAGGTTTACTTCTATTTTTAGATGAATTAAATATCTTACATATTTCTTAGTTTTAATTTAATGGATAACTGCCTACATAAGCACAAGCTTTTAGGAGTCCTCAATCATTTTTAGGAGTGGGATGGATTTCTAAGACCGAAAAGTTGATAATTGTTATAGGTTCTTATTAAACCGTCTAAACTTGACTACTAACTGAACATGGATCCTCTGGTACATCTTGAGACAAAAAATTGCCAAAAGAGCCAAATGGCAGCCAAAGACAAATTTTCCTAAGGAATGGCTTAATTTTTTTTTGTCTCTATAAATATACTTGGTAGTTTGATGACATGTATAAACTCTGCAATGCAATTGTAATCTTATTCCAGATAAAAAATTTTGTGTTAGTCAGCTCAGTGAATTAGGGCCAGAAATGAAATAGAATTTATTTTTCTGATGACTCAGGTTGAATCATTCTGAGTCACTAGGGGATTCATGTTTCTCATATGGGCCTAGGGCTTTCTTTTTCTTTTCTTTTTAGTTTTGTTTTGGGTTTTAAGAACCTGGGCTTTGTTTTCCTTTTTTTTTTTTTGCAGTACTGGGGCTTGAACTTAGGGCCTTTACCTTGAGCCACTCCACCAGCCCTTTTTGTGCTGGGTATTTTTGAGATAGGGTCTTGTGAACTATTTGCCCTGGCTGGCTTCAAAATGTGATCCTCCTGATCTCTGCCTCCTGAGTAGCTGGGATTACAGGTGTGGGCCATCGGTGCCCAGAGGTTTCAATTCTTTATATTTCCATATCTAAGCAAAACATTTTAACCTTTTTTTTTTTTTTTCTTGCTGTATTGGGGTTTGAACTCAGGGCCTCACACTTGCTAGGCAGGGGCTCTACCCTCTGACCCACACCCGTAGCCCTAAGCAAAACATTTTAGCTAGAGCCAGCATAGATTATTTGCATGTGCTTGCAAATTCTGAGACTCCTGAGAAGGACTGGGCCTTCCTAGCAGATTCCCAGTTCTCAGTCAGGCTCTGTGACCAGTCTGCCTCTCATTTTGCTCCTGATTGATTACTGATGTCCTCATCTGGCATTTAATTAGATGAAAATGGAATTTGATGGTTATTTATCTTACTTAGGATAACCTGATATGAAAATTTTAATATAATTTCCTGGTATTTGCCAAGCAAATGAGAATATTAGAACTCTGCTCAACAGGTACAGTTGGGAGGGCAAATGTGTATTTTCTTATATATAAGTACAGATGTCCATATTTCAATACTTTTAGGCAAGAGGAGGAGAGAGGCCGTGTATACAACTATATGAATGCAGTTGAGAGAGATTTGGCAGCTTTAAGGCAAGGGATGGGACTGAGTAGAAGGTCTTCTACATCCTCAGAGCCAACTCCTACTGTAAAAACCCTCATCAAGTCCTTCGACAGTGCATCTCAAGGTAATTAATCCCTTATCTGTTGTGCCTAGAGCATGCAGTTGTATTCAGTTACCATATGTTTACTGTCTTAGTTTGATATTCCTTACCATTTTACTGTCTCTGTTTCATCAACTTTCATATAATCTCAATGAGTTCATATAAGGTGAATTTTAATAGGGCAGTTGTAATCGATTCTGCTTCAGAAATCATGATGTCAGACTCATAGCTTACCATGAATCTTTTCTCCCTGGCTGGATCATACATATTCCTATGACTTTCGGTATTTTCTTTATGCCTAAGACTTTAGTTCTTTCTCTTCTTCTGAACTCCTTCAGTCCTTCTAAGTGCCTGCTTGATTGATACCAGGTGTCTTCAGGACACCCTTATGTCCAAACCAAACCCTTATACCCCAGCTTCCATCTTTCCCTATGTGTTAATGGCAGCATAATTCCATGCAGTTATTAAATTAGAAATCTGAGAATCTTAAGTCCTTCTTCCTTACCCTTACTTTCTTGCCATTCTTTCAGGCTTCAACATGGACATCTTTGTTCCTTTTGCTTCTCTTCTCTAGTGGGAAAAGCTATAGTTCAGGTCAACATCAACTCCTAATTTCAACCATCTTCTAATTAGTCTCTCCATTTCATGTCATAATAGAAAGATTGTTTTTTTTTTTTTTTTTGAGCTTGTTTTTTTTGGTCCTGGAGTTTGAACTCAGGGCTTCTTGCTTGCTAGGCAGGCACTCTACCACTTGAACCATACCTCCAGCCAGAAAGATCATTTCTTGCTTAAAATTCTTAAATTGCCTTACCCGAGTTGGAATGAAGTTCAGATCTTCAGAGTTCCAAAGTTCTACCACTGCCTACATATTACTCAGTTGGGCCACTCTTCCCATTCCCTGTCCAGCCAAACTAAACTACACTTCAGAAACAAGTTCAGAAACAGGTTCAGAAACAAGTGGTGCTATTTTTGTAAGGATGAGGTACATACTGAAATGCTGACATTAAAGTATATCTGCAGTCCTTTATAACAAGTTGCAGACCAGACATGAGTGTGCCTTTTTTAGGCAGGGTCTTGCTATATAGTCAAGGTTGGCCAGGAACTCATTATATAGCCCAAGCTGGCCTCAAACCTGTAATTCTCCTGCCTCAGCCTCCTGAGTGCTGGAATTACAGGTGTGTGCCATCACACCCAGCTCTTATTTTGTTTTTAAAAATACATAGATAGCTATATGTATTTACATTTAAACTGTAAGAAAGCTGCTTTCAGAACTCTCCTGTGCTGCCATTTAAATATGATGAGGTAAGATGAAAGCAGGATTTTAAAAAATACATGCTTCTATAATAAGATGATAATGGCATTTACAGTAAATTAAAATTGTGCAACTATTTACAATATTAACAAAACAGGCTTGTATGCAAATAAATGATATAATAAGATCTATCCAAATGACCCAGTAATTCCATTCCTAGTTAAAAAAGAATTAAAAGTAGGTGCTGGGTGTGTACTTTTTGTGTTTGTGGTGCTGGGTATGAACTCAGTGCCTTGCACTTGGCTAGGCAGGCAGTCTACCACTTAAGCCACACCCCCAGCTCTTTTTGCTTTAGTTATTTTTCGAGTAGGGTCTCATGTTTATGCCTGGGCTGGCCTGGACCTTGATTCTCCAATTTATGATGCCCCCTGCATTCCTGAGATGACAGGCTGATGTCACCACACCCAGCTTTTTATTGGTTGAGATAGGGTCTCAAGAACTTTTTACCTGGCTGGCCTTGAGCTGCAATCCTCCAGATCCTCTGATCCTTAGGATTTCTGCCTCCCAAGCAGCTAGGATTCTGGGCATGAGTCACTGTGCTAGACTGAAAGTAGGTATTTACACAAGTACTTGTACATGAGTGTTCGTAGCAGCACTGTTTACAGAAGTCGAGAGGTAGAAGGAACTGGGTGTCCATGCATTAGGTGAATGGAGAAACAAATGTCTCATATCCATTTAATGGAACATGATCTAGCATAAGGAGGAATTAAAGTACTGCTACCTACTACAACATGGATATACTTTTCTAGCATGGTGCTCAGTGAAAGAAGCCAGACACAATAGGCTTAGATTTAAGATTATGTTTGTATGAAATACACAGAATAGGACAGTTCACAGAGACAGAAATGGATCGATTTTTACTGGCGGCTGGCAGGCTAGGTGGGAAGTGCCTGCCTGTACTGGGTTTCACTTTGGTGTGATGGAAATACTTTGGAGCTAGTTAGAGGTGATGGGCGATGGTTGTGCAATGCTGTGAATGTGCTGAATGCCACTGAGCGGTATTGTCATAATTGGCTGTATGCATATTCTTTTTTTGTTTGGTGGTACTGGGGTTTGAACTCAGGGCTTCATGCTTGTGAGGCAGGTGCTCTAACACTTGAGCCACACCTCCAATGAAAAATTGCTGTGTTCTTCTTATATGAGTTTTATCTTAGTAAAGAAGATTGCCTCTAAAGATGTCAATTCTAAATATAAGTATTTGGCTGCATATTTAGTTCCACAATGATCACTGCTTCATTTTGCCACACTGTGTTATGTGCCTGAGTTCATTTGTGTGTTCCCTTTTGAATTTAATTTAGCTTCAAATAAATAATCATTTTCTTAAATAACCATGTTTATGCAGCCCATGCTAAATCCAAGTATATAGAAATAAACGAGTGAATGAGAAACAAAGAAACTTCTTTTGGAGAGTTTAGAGTGAAAGTTTGATATGCAAATGAACAATCATATAGCTGTGTCTTAAATGCAAATCAGAAATTCATCAAGTGAAGGGATCAGTTCTGCAAAAGGAAGTGAGGAAGATGAGCAGGAGCTCAGTATTCTTTGGTTTAATACACAATGAAGGAATCCCCTCTACACACCAGGCCTCTTATCTGAAGTACTTACATGTGTAAATATTCCTCTGGGTGTTTTTCTGTTTGTTTTTTGTTTTGTGATGCTGGGGATTGAACCCAGAACCTAATGCATGCTAGGCAAGCACTCTACCAAGGGATCCCATCCTTTTATTTTTCCTTTAATACTTGCATTATAATGATTTATGGAACACTTTAACCACACCATGCAATTAAACAGCAAAAGTGAGCTCCTGACTTAGGGAAGCAAACAGTTTTGCTTGGTGAGATGAGAAGCATCTGTGTTACAGCTGTCAGTGTTCAGGGTGTTAGACAGTGCCCAAGATAGTTTCCAGGGGGTTCAAGAACATTGGTTGATTTGGTAAGTCCTTGACTAGAAACCACTTAAGAATGCTTTCCCTGCTGTGTGATGCTTTCGTTATTTACTTGTTTGTGTATTGCTTTTATAGTACCAAATCCTACTTCAGCTGCGATTCCTCGAACGCCTCTGAGTCCAAGTCCTATGAAAACCCCTCCTGCAGCAGCTGTATCCCCCATGCAGGTAAGTGCTCAGGACTACTGAGGTCTCCAGGGGCTTTAGAACCTGAAAGTTGAAAGTCCTCAAAGTCTTGCACCCATATCTCAGGTGGGCAAATGACTACTTCAGAGAGATGTGTCTGGAATCTTATTTTCTACAATACCGTGGCTGTCCTTTATTGAGGTAAATTATATAAATGTAAATGGTATTGTTCTTCTCGGGGAACTTAGACACCTCTCTAAGTATGTACTTGTTGTGTTTCATCCTATGCTACTTAGTAAATCACTTCAAAACTTATCTTCTTAAGATGTCCAATTTCCTATTCACACTTTTCTGAGTCAGTCAGGCAGTTATTTGCTGGCTATGTTTGGGCTTGCTCTGTGACTGCATTCAGCTAGAGGATGGCTTGGGCCCTGGGCTGCTTTTTCCAGCGGGCACCTTTATTGCATGGTCTCTGAGCTCCAGAGAGTAAAAGTGGAAGTTAGTACAGCTTCATAACCTCAGTGTGGGATTTGGACAGAGTCATTTGAAGCCTACTCTTTGGATCCGAGCAAGTTCAGCACAGATTCAGAGTGGAAGGGGTCTGCACAAGGCAGGAGTGTAGAGAAGCAGGATTCATTTTGCCACAGTCTTGCACAAGGACTTCGCTGATCCATTATAAGCAAGTTTCAAAAGTTGCTTTTCCTTACCATTGTGGGAATGTAGGCCAGGAACAGGAAGGGGGTCAGTTCTCTGGTATTCAAGAGGCTCTCTTGTTATGCCCTTTATTCAGCCACTTTTGTAGTGTGGCTTGAGATAGAGTATTTCTGCATGGGTGAGAGCAAGCCAAAGGAAAAATGGTTCCAAACCTATTATTCTGTGATACAGGGTAGCCTTGACTGTACCTACCCCCCAAAATAATAGGGCCTGGGAGCATTTTCTTTTTGAGTTGAGACTTTTGTGGTGTGTTAACTATTAGTAATGTATTTTGTGAGTGAACTTTCTTGTAATTTTAGCATGACTCCATCTGCATTTGTGATGTTGTAAGTCAGTGGCTTTGCATTTGCATGTATATACAAGATGTCTTAATTTAAAAGGAAGGCAAGGGGAATTTCATTTTCTCCCTTCAAATTTAGTGCTCTCTTATATGCTCTGTGTTAATAAAAATTTTTCTGAAAACCTGAAGATGTAAATAAAAGCAAAGGTGCCAAGTAAAATAAACTTCAAATAAGGCAAATTTTCTCTAAGTAGTGTTCATCAAGTGAAGTTTAACGTCCAAGGCATCATTTGTAAATCTGGTGAAGATAGGAAGTAAAAAAAAAAAAAAACCTCATTTTTGTTGCTTGGAAAGACCTAATAATTACAAGCTACATTCAGTAGCTTTTTTTAGTACATGATTAGTGTGGTACTTCTCAAACCTAACTGTATATAAGAATCACATGGAGAGTTTTTAAACACATAGATTCCCAGGCCTCATCCTAGTGAACCAGCATCTCTGGGGACCAGGGCCCAAGGTTGGGATTGTTAGTTTTTTGAAACTCCCTGGGTAGGAATTTTATTTTAGCCACAAGGGAGTAGCAAGACCTGCTATCACAAACAAATAGAAAGCTGGGCAAAATGTAGGAAGATTATTTTCAGACATTATACAAGTCTATGATCCCTGAAAAAAATTTAAGAAGTGAGAGAAGTCCTACTGTGGTCTACATTCTTTTCCTGGAGGCAATTTCCAGATGATGGTGCAGGGAGGATGAACTGACAAGGAACAGACAAGGGGAACTAATTGGATCTAAAGAGAACACAGGTCAACATTTTTTTTGGCAGTACTGGGCTTTATATGTGCTAAACAAGCACTCTACCACTTGAGCCATACCCCTGTCCTTTTCTCTTTAGGTGTAATACCCACCCCCACACCAGCCTCCTGCCCAGATAGGGCCTTGCACTTGGAGGGGAGGCTTGGACTGCAATCCCCCTCCCTATCTCCACTTCCCTGTAGCTACAATAACAGATGTGCACCACTACACATGACTGTAGTGTAGTACTCAAGATTGTTTTCTTGTTTGTTTTTTGGTGGTGCTGGGATTTGAACCTAAGACCTCATGTTTGCTAGGCAGGCATCCTACCCTTGAGCCATGCTGGCAGCCCTTTTTTGCTTTGGTTATTTTTTAGGTAGGGTCTTGTGTTTTTGCCCATGCTAGCTTCAGACATCAGACAGTGATCCTCTGACTTCCTCCTCTAGAGTAATTGGAATTACAGGTGTATGCTACCATGTTTGATCTCTCTCTTGTATATTTCTGCTGGGAATATGAAATGAGTAGCTAGAAAAAAAGAGGGCTGGGAAAAACCTGAGAGAATGACTCATGAGAAAAAGCACAAATAACTATTTTATGGGTCTAAGTATTTGTATGAGTATTTCAGCTGCTAATACGTGCATAGGTCTGGAAATGAGGAACCAGTGACAAAGCTGTTGGCAGTAGTACTGAATTAAGATGACAAGCTGCTGCAAGGCACCAGTGGCTCACGCCTGTAATCCTAGCTACTCAGGAGGCAGAGATCAGGAGGATCATGGTTTGAAGCCAGCCTGGGCAAATAGTTTTTGAAACCCTATCTTGAAAAAACCCACCACCAAAAAGGGCTGGTGGAATGGCTTGAGGTGTAGGCCCTGAGTTCAAGCCCTAGTACTGCAGAAAAAAAAAAAAAAACAGGCTGTACTGGAGCAGTTGTGGAGTTGGTGAATGGGTGGTAGAATGAAGGTCTGTTTAGAATAAGGGCATAAATGACCAATAAAACGACAATAGGAACATGTCTATATTTCTGTTTGGAGCACATTTTTGTATTTAGTGAATTGGCATGTGATATTTTAAGAATTCTTTAAAAATAAATGGTAGGCTGGGCTTGGTGGCTTTCACCTATCATTTCAGGTATTTGGGAGGTAGAGATTGGAGGATCCTGGTTTGGCAAAAAAACAAAAAAGTTAGTGAGACCACCATCTCAACCAATAAATAGCTGGGTGTGGTTGTATGCACCTATCATCTCATCTATGCAGAGACTGTGTAAATAGGAGGCTGTCAGTCCAGGCCCACCCCATGCAAAAACATGAGACCCTATTCAAAAAATAAATGCACCAAAAAGGTCTGGGGACGTGGCTTAAATGACTGTATGCCTGTGTGCCTAGCAAGCACAAGGTCCTTATTTCAAACCCAAGTAACACACACACACACACACGCACACACACACAACACACAGATCACAATACCAGTGATTTTCAAGGGTCAGTGGTATGGGGTCTGCAAGGGAAAAGATGGGTAAAAGGCCACAGGAAGGATCCTTGTGGTGATGAAGTATTCTGTATCTTGACTTTGTCAATATCCCAGTTGTGATGTTGTACTATTAATTTACCAGATGTTATCATTGGGGGAAAGTGAGTGAATCTCTCTATATTATAAAGAATGTGAATCTACATTCATCTCATAATAAGTTTTTTAAAAGAAGTATATTGATTATATGCCTCTAGTTTAGCAGTACAGAAGAAATTATGCAAATTCATAACTAAATATTCTGCAACATTTATTTTCTCTTGAGTCTCAGTACTATATTTAATCTGACTTTGATACTATTTTGTATGATTTCAGAGACATTCCATAAGTGGACCAATCTCAACATCCAAGCCCCTGACAGCCTTGTCAGATAAGAGACCAAACTATGGTGAAATCCCTGTTCAAGGTACATGAAACATATCAAACTATTTTACTTTTTTGTTAATTTTTAGATGCTCTGACTACTTTAGCTAATTAGCTTGTTTTCTTTGCTCTTGACCTATGTCAGTCAATCTGGTATACATGTTTATCTAAGTTTACTAATATGTCTGTTGAGATCCTGGGCTAAATCCCCAGTACTACCCTCCCAAAAAAAGTTTATTAATAAATGTCTTAATTACAAATAGAGAAATGTAAATGTATTTCACTAGAAATTAGTAAATGTAGCTTGTTTTTTTGTTTGTTTGGTTTGGTTTGTTTGTTTGGTTGGTTGGTTTTTTGAGACAAGATCTTGTTAGGTAGCCAGGCTGGTCTCAAATTCAGGATACCCCTGCCTCAGCCTCCCCAGTGCTGGGATTAGAGGCATTTACTACCGTCCTTGGCTGATGACTCTCTTTTAACATTATAATAGGTAGCAGAAATGTGTGCTCTTTCTAGGCATTGATTTTACAGTTCTTTATGACATTTGTGTTAGTTATTGCCATTTTACAGACACTAAAAATGAAGCTTAGAAAATTTAAATAACTTAATGAACAGTAACCCTGGGCAGCCTTACTCCAGAGCCTATTCTCTTCAAGTCTGTGCTGCATATTGTAAGCTGAGGCTTTGGGGAATGAGGTCTACCAGTTCTTTGGAGTCTTTGGGAAAAGACTTGCCTATTCTCACACAGCTTTTTATGGTGAGTTGACACCAGAACTGAACTGTCTTCTTCATTTCAGCCTGGGCTCCATTTCTTATCCCACACTGCCTCTTTCATATTAAAATGTGAAAAAATTGGTTATGGCATCAGGGTATGACACTGTGAAAGGCAGCACTTCATTTGGGGTGGTTGTGAATATGCTCCCAGTGGCCCAAGGGCTCCTCTTAGCTTCTCCAGGTCATTCACCTGTACCTATGAATTCTTTCAGTTGTGGAAGTTAGGCTCTGTGGGTGGGACTACCAGGGATCAAAAGATGTGGATAAGAAATCTGCAGACTTGTGGGAAGTATTTTAGTAAAGAGCCCTGAGGACTGGCTCCTTGGGCTCCATGTAGCACCAGTGAGTGAAGAGTTAAGTTAGGTGACTGAACTGGCCCCTATCAGTCAGTCTTGAGTATTTGGATCAGCTCCAGTACACATTCAGGGATGGGGAGCACAAGGTGCTGCTGCCACCACTTCACAATGATTTGCCCTCTACCTCTGCTTCTTGACTTGTGGTTCATCTGGTCAGTTGTGACCTCAGGTTTTCTCTCTCCCTTAATGCTTGAGTTCCTCTCCCAGACTTTTCTAAACCCTGTGGTCAGACTTTCACCCTCATACTCTACCAGTACTGCTATTGTTGAGGTTGTTACTCAGTCAACTCTTGGTCCTAATCTTCTGCCGGTTTGTCATTATTGAGCATTTTGTCTTCTTGAATGTTCTTTTTTGTTTCCCTGACATCATGCTTGCATTTTCTCTTTTCTTTCAGTCATTCCTCCTCCATCCCCTGTCCTGTCTCCTCTGTTCTCCTTGACCTGTTAAATGGTGGTATGGCCCAGAGCTTAGGCCCTGGGCCTTTTATGCACTCTATTACTGTCTTCTCATGGCTTTAAATGCTGTTTAAAATGCTGTCAGGTTTACATATCCATTCTGTTTCTCTCCTCCGGGCTCTACACTCATATATGTAATTGCCTACTTGACATCTCCATTTCTGTATGAATATTCTTAGACTGAATGTAGCTAGTACAAGATTCTCATGCTTCATAAATTTGTTCTACTTGTAACCTGCCTTCCCCATCTCAGTTAATGGCAGTGTCACCCCCGAGAAACCAGAGAGTCATCCTTAACTCCTGTCTTCATCTTAGACCTGTTTTGTTGTGTAGAAAATACCACATTTTTGGCTCTACTTTCAAAATATTTCCAGAATCAAAGTATTGCTCTGTCCTCTACTGTCATCTCCCTGGTCTGAGCCATCATTATCTCTCCCCTGGAGTCTGGCAAATGATTCTTAATCCTACTCCTCGTCTATTCTTAACACTGGAGGTTGGGAAACAGAGATCAGAACATATTTTTCTACTCCAAACACTCCATGGGATCCAACTTCTTTCAGCCATCAGTCTCCCAGTGGCCTCCAGACCCTCCCATCCTGGCCTCGGTTGCCCCTCTAGCCTTATCCCTTTTTCTCACTCTGCCAAGCCATGTGGGAGTGTTGATTTTCTAGGGGTACTCAGGTACAGTACTGACTTAGAGACCTTGTCCTGACTTTTCTCTGACTGGGACACTGCCCAGATATCCAGTTTGTTCCTCCAGGTCTCTTTCAAAGCTTCTCTCAAGTTGCCCATCCTCAGGCCCTGAGTGCCATAGTTAACATTGTAGACATGACCAGATGGTTCTGTCCTCCCATATACTCTGTACTCTGATTGCTCTCCTTATCACTTGTCCTCTTCTAACATTCTATATAGTATGTTAGTTTATACTTTTTATTGTTTTTTTCCTACCATTTCCCTAGATCTTAAGGTCCATGAGTCAGGATTTGCTTCTATTTTGCTCACTGAGACACCCTCAGCCCCTGTAGAAGTCCTGAGTTTTTGATAAACAGTTGACAAGTGAATGAAACACCCATATCAAATGTCCCCTTTTAGATTTTATTACTGTATGTGTGAACTTTTTCTTAGTAGCACAAATGGCTGAGAATGAGTCTTAATAGTCTACAAGTAAAAGATTTTAGGCAACTGAGTTCTGCAAGATTTTATTTGCTAGCAACAAATGGCCATGAGAAAGTTTCTGTACAAATTGTGTTCTGGGCACCTTAAGAAACCACATGCAGTAAATGCCACAATGTACCTTCTGCCCAGCACATCAATAAAAAATATTTAAAAAAAAGAGAGAAACGACATGCATTTAGGGCAGAGATGGAAACCAGTGGTTCAGGAGCCCCCACTATACTGGCTACTTGTGCTCTGGTTCTGAGGATAAAGCCAGCCTTTCTACTTGCAGTCTGGGCCAATGTGGTTAAAGCTAGGCAGTCCATTCATCCGGGGTATTGTATAGCCTTGTGCTAATGCCCTAGAACCATGATTCTAACGTGGCTACAGCTGTGTAATGCTATCGTAAGAGGGCCTGGTAGGAGAGATTTCATCTGGAGGGCACTGGGTGATCCTGAGACACCAGAGGATAACAAGCTCTCAGATCCCAGGTGACCTCTGAAGAGGATGAGAACTGGCTCAGGGCCGTACCAGCCTTCAGGCTCAGACCACAGCCGACTGTCATTGTCTTCTCTACTCTCCACTGCTGCCTTCCACAGCAGGGTGAGTTTTTACCAGGGAACACCAGCTCCAGCAGTATTTCTCAAACGTACCTGAGTTACTTCTTAAAAATACAAGATCCTGGGCCTCTCAGTTCATGGGCTATCTAGGAAAGGGAGCTTGGAAATTTAATTATATCTGTTACCTTGGCTTTTATGAGTGGGAAATACGTGTGGAAAGTCTGTAACAAGATTATTAAAGACAGACTAAAAATACGTAAGATTCTGTTCCTGGTTCTTTTCATTTTATTATCTGGTGATTTATCCATTCACAGTGCCATTGGGCACGAAGTGTGTGTTGGCAGGCCACGCAAATGCTGGTCTCATTATCCTCTCCTGAGTCTTATGAGGTTTGGTTTGAATATTGCAAATATATGAGGCAGGGAAACACACTTGGGTGAATTTTTATCTGGGAAGTTGTTGATATGGTGATTTTTATCTGAAACAGTCATTAGAAAAAGTAATCACTTACAAAACTAAGAACAAGCAACTGATTTATGGCCATAAAAAGCCAATAATTCTTGGTCATAAAAAGCCACTGTGGTTATCCAAACTGTGATAAGAGAGAAGGATTTCCGAGCTCTGTCTTGAACTACTTTTCTTCCTTGATTGTCTTGTTTGTCTTGGCATAAATTAAAAAAACATGCCCAGCATGTAATTTTCATTTTGGAAGTTTCTGTGACCTCGTTACTTAAATTTTAAAAGGTGCTGCTTTTTTCTCAGAGAATTTTGTTTTCCTGCTAGTATTTTATGATAAGTATACCTTTTTTTTTGGTTTGTAATATTTTAGTACCATGCCTGGATGGCAATTACAAGAAAATGTTTCAGATGAGAGAAATCCTATTATAAATAGCATGAGTCAAATGCTCTTTTGTTGGAATTGTTGACAGTTGAATTGAATGACTAGTGTCATTGTGCCTTCTCAGTGAATCTATAGTATGTAAATTAGTACCTGTGGCCCAAGCAGAAGTGTACAGATATCCCTTCCAGGTAGCAGAGACATAGGTAATTATAAAGGCCTTTACTGTTTGTACTTACACAGTGCTCTTAGGAAGTCTGCAGTATTTAGCAGATACATCACCTGTGACTGATTGAAAAGCCTGGAATGCCCCAATATCAGCACAGTGTTATTGTCTCCTCTCTCATCAGCTCACACCAGTGCTGCATAATGATGTTTCAGTCAATGATGGATAGCCAGGTTTGTAGTCAGCTATACCATCTAAGTTTGTGTAAGCATACTCTATGTTGCTAATCATACTGATTAATGTTTGCACAACAAAAGGTCGCCTAACAATCCCTGTCTCACAGTGTGTCCCTGTTTTTAAGAGATGGTAACTATAGATACTCCTGGAAGTTGATGAGTCCAAGTGTAGTCATTAATCATATTGGTATGTTTTCCCTCCCTATAGTCATGCCTTTTCCAAAATGCCATATAAATAAAATTATACAACATTTAGTCTTTTAAGTCTGACTTCTTTCATTTAGCAGTATGCATTTGTTTTGCTGTTACTGGATAGGATGTTTTAGAAGTAAATGTCAGATCTAGTTAGTTATGAGTTAGTATTCAAGTCTAGATCTTCCATATCCTAACTGATTTTCTGCTCATTCCTTCTATCAAATACTGAGAGTGTTGAACTCTCCAACTCTAGTTGTGGATTTGTTTTGCTTTTCAGTTCTATCAGTTTTTACCTCAAATATCTTAAAGTT